TAGGAGTGAAAGGAGATGAATGGTATTTGGGGGCCCGATGAGTGGGAGTGTGACAGGGTAATTTTAGTGAAGGGGTTCAGGGAAAAATGGTTATTTTAATAGCCGGACTCAGTCCCGGTAATGGGAAGTACAATGCCTGACTTTTTAAGGGGGTTTGGGATTTTGGCGTTTGGAGGGATATGTTGTGTTTTTATAGTTAGCTTTTTAAAATGTTTTTATTTTTGAGCACCCCGCAAAAACGGATTATGGGAAGTGGGTGAAAGTGTTGAATGATGATGAAAAATATTTTTTTTTTTTGGGGATTTTTTCTTTCTTTTTTGGGTCACCCTGCCTCGGTGGGAGACGGCCGACTTGTTAAAAAAAAAAAAAAAGCTGAAGGACAATGCCCTCATAAAGGCAACGTCAGGTGTTGCAGCATGCTACATATTAGAATATTTAAATTCCTTTTATGGGAAATATCTGTACAATTTTGCATTATTATACACCATAATTGTCATGTTACTGTCACAAGTGTGTCTGTTTACACTCATTTGCATAAGCACACATACAAGTACAGTGGACCCTCGACCAACGATATTAATCCATTCCTGAGAGCTCATCGTTAATCAAAATTATCGTTAGTCGAGTTAATTTTCCCCATAAGAAATAATGGAAATCAAATTAATCCGTGCAAGACACCCAAATGTATTGAAAAATTTTTTTTTTACCACATGAAATATTAATTTTAATACACACAAACTGAAGAAGACATGTACAATTACATGACACTTACCTTTATTGAAGATCTGGTGATGATTGATGGGATGGGAGGAGGGGAGACTGTGGATGGTGTTAGTGTTTAGAAGGGGAATCTCCTTCCATTAGGACTCGAGGTGTCAAGTTCTTTTCCGGGGTTACTTCCCTTCTTTTAATGCCACTAGGACCAGCTTGAGAGTCACTGGACCTCTGTCGCACAACATATCTTTCCACAGAGACCTGTACCTCCCGTTCCTTTATGACGTTCCTAAAGTGTTTGACAACATTGTCAGTGTCACAATTAAACACTTGTTCACTTTTCAATTCTTCACTGTCTATGTACTCCTTTAATTCCTGCACATATTTTTCAGCTGCTTTTTGGTCCAAACTGGCAGCCTCACCATGCCTTATCACACTATGTATGCCACTACGATTCTTAAATCCCTCAAACCAACCTTTGCTGGCCTTAAATTCACTCACATCACCACTAGTTGCAGGCATTTTTCTAATTAAATCCTCATGCAACTTCCTAGCCTTTTCACATATGATCGCTTGAGAGATGCTATCTCCTGCTATCTGTTTTTCGTTTATCCACACCAATAACAGCCTCTCAACATCTTCTATCACTTGTGATCTCAGTTTCGAAAACATAGTTGCACCTTTGGCAAGAACAGCTTCTTTGATTGCCATTTTCTTGGCCACAATAGCAGCGATGGTTGACTGGGGTTTTGTGTACAACCTGGCCAGCTCGGAGACACGCACTCCACTTTCATACTTAGCAATGATCTCTTTCTTCATATCCATAGTAATTCTCACCCTTTTTGCTGTAGGGTTGGTACTAGAAGATTTCTTGGGGCCCATGGTGACTTATTTTGCAGGTGCAATCACTAAAAACACTGTGATAATATGAAATGTTCTGATTGTATATTTGGATGGGACCGCGATGGCTGGCTGGCTTGTAAACACTGGCCACAAGTGGACGCGTCTCAGACGGAACGAATCGTGTTGGTCAAGTTTTTTTAGCGCTAGTTGAAGCAAAATTTTTGCGTTAAAATGTATCGCTAGTCGGATTTAACGTTAGACGATGCCATCGTTGGTCGAGAGTCCACTGTACTTCCATATATTTCAGTTTTCTACAGTTCTAACATATGTATACATGCATAACGGACACTGGTAATGTTATTAGAACAGTTGCAGCATATAGAGCTCCTTGAGGCACAGCTGCATACACAGTGGTTTTACATTCCTCACACATACTATGTATCTGTGTGTTTAGCAGGTCATCTTACAGTGTTAGCAAATACATAGCATCCCTTTTGAGCCCATTTCTTGACAGTAGCAAGATGTACTGTTGGAAAAGGATTACCATGGCTCAAATGAGATGGTATTTGGTCATTAGTATGGTGACAGAGGAGTTGGTCTGGAGTTGTAACCTTGTATTTCTGCATTATTTGTCTGATAACAGACAATGGGAAGTTGGCTTGTATCTGTTGTTTCCAGTCTTGACCTGATATATATTGCAGGCATTCAGCATAGCACTGTCCACAAGATAAACATAGTTTATTCACCATTTGCAACTATTTCTCACATAATCAACACATCCAATCCTCATGTCACAATAGTCAACCAAATGCATGTTACTCGTGTAATCTATGATGTTAGTTGATTTAATAATGGATTTATTTGTTTCCTTGTTCACCTTTCTTATTTTATTTGGATGGATTTTTGTAAGCACTGTCACATCACATTTGTCATGTCACTGTTATATCATGATGCCACTGGCCTAAAACACCTGCATTTCACCTCCACCAATGCTAGTGTTGAAACTTCGGCACACGTTTGTGTGTTCAAGACACTATACCACATAGATCTATGATGGTCACTTGCAAGAGCTTGTGTACCAGTTACCAGTGAATAATATATGCCCTTTACCATGATATTGTTCCACAATTTTCCTCACAACACCAGAGATTCTTAACAACTTCCTGGTATTTTCCAATGTTTTTCCCTCCTGAGTACACAATCAGATCCAATATCAAGCCACTGTCACAGTCACACAAACCAAACTGGGTACATACAATATTGTTTTAATGATAGTGTGGCTTTGAAAAGGATAAAGACTCATCAATCACAAGGTTTTGGAAATGATTAAAGAACTTATTTTTCAGGTACATAAAAACATTCCTAATTTTGCATGTCATTTCTGTCAGGATTATTTTTGCCTAAAAAGTGTAAGGTATGCAATGACAAGACATATTTGTTGATAAGGATCATTGAATGCTGGAGTGCATATTAGTTGGTCTGTTAACCAACATCTTCAATATTGTGCTTATACACATGTGGCATAAGCACAATTGTGGCAAATACATATGAGCCACAGTAGTGTCTTTCCATTGCTTAAGTCGAGATTGTACTGAAACGTGTGTTTAACACTGCATACTGGAAACAACTTTTTTGCATCGCTATTACTTTCATTAATGGTTCAACGAAATCAAAGAAATTCAGTTCATCTGAGTCCTTGGTCAAGCTACAATTTGGCAAGATTCTGCTATGTATCATAAAACGGTAAAGATTAGGCACAAATGTTGCACCTTCCTGCCAATAGCAGACAGTTTTATGGTGGTTGCTAGATTTGTGGCCTTAGTTGTGCAACTGGTCATTGTGGTGCTAGTGATAGTAGTTGTGTGTAGGGTGGATGCAGCCAATGGTAGTGGGAGTGTGGAATGGGGATCATGGCTTCCTCCTAGGGCTGGCACTGGCACCACCAGTGTCTTGGTCCCAACACCTGATTCATGCTTCACTAGCACTGCCATGGACCACTACCAATGCTAATTTCAGGACCTTCATAACTAGTGATTTACCACAACCCCTGGGATAGCCCCAGACACACTACCAGGCTATGTGCACTGATGTATATGCTGATGCTTCACAGGTGAATATTTATCCTCACAATCACTCATAGCATAGGCAATGACCACAAAGTCAAACTAATCCCCACTGTTGTCATTATTATTACTCACATCAGTGCTCAAACAAGAGAATGTTAGTTGTCACTTATGCTGTGGACACTTCGAGGATGCAATGAGGCCAGAAGTAGAGTTGCAGGTCATCAGGGCTTTCAACACTATTCTCAGCATTTCTCATGCTGCTTTTGATTACTTCCTCTCGAGTCCATAGAACTCCATTCTTGAATATCTAACCTCAGGGTCAAAAGTGTTTTGGTCAAACAATAACGTGTTAATCCATTTAGGAGAAATGGTATCTTGTCAGCTTGCCATAGTGAACTAATAGGGTCTCCCATGAAGCATTGTGCAAGCTGGGATTTTTTGTATGCTGTGCACACCCACAGCAATGACCCATTTTCTCATGCCTTCGCCTACCAGACCTCTCGCACCAAATTTGAAAGCATGCAATTTATATGTAGATCTACGATACCAACACTGACCTCAATTGCACAGATCAACATGACTAACACTTGAAGGGTTTAACACCTCAGTACATACTTGAAAGGATAGACAGAAAAGGACAAAAATCAGAAAAAGCAATGACTAATATCACGTAACATGAGTTACATCCACTACATTTTATCGACATCAACCTGCTGCCAAGCTAATTTAGCAGTTGCCAATGTAATTTAACAAACTGACAAAAAACTGAACAGGAAGTGCATATAAACAGTAACTACTCTTACTTTCTGGTATATACGGCATGCAGTTTTCCCCCCAAAAATTCTGGGAAGATCACTCTGTGCCTTAATTGTTCAAGGTCTTGAACAAGGGTAGGTGTTGGATTGCTGATAAGCGGTGGTTTCAGTACTGCAGTACAGGTAAACTAAACTCCAAACACTCCTCTAAAAAATTGTCTCCCAGATTTTAGAGTAATTAGTGATTATTATAAATAATAATTTACATATTACTGGTTTGTAATAAGAAAACCAGCTTCAGCAGTTGTAAATATTTGTCAAGTAGCCATCTATAAAGTTTTGGTGGTTGGTGGCAGTGGAGCAGACGACAGACTGCAAAAGCCAGAGCTTGTTGGGATAAGACCGATTTTCTCCATAAAACTGTTTAATTAAGTTATATTATGCTTGTACCACAATGTTAAAAATAAAAGTTTTATCTTGAATGTTTTGATGTTTATCTAGAACCCTCACCCCTCTGACAACGTCATAGTTTGTGCAGTCATATTTGTTTATGCCAGTAGTGATGGGCCTACCGGTCACCTTCGACTCACTGGGTCTAGCAAGTACTGCATTTTTTTTTTTAATTTTCCCAGAACATGCGTGCCACAACTGGGGTGTACCTTATGTGCCAGAAACTATGGTACTTCAACAAGAGATGCATGTATCTAATGAAAAATTCAGAAAATAAGAAAAGTTCCTCTAAACTGTTACAAGATTCACAGTCCTTACCTAAAGCAATAGCTCCCCACCAAGGAAGATCAGCTGTTACATGTAAAAACTCAAGAGAGCTCTGGACGATACCAACTGGGCTCCAGCCCCCTAAACCAAGACTAGCAAAAGTAGGTTCACCAAGTGCATTCAGAGCTGGCCCTACAGCTTCAGGAGGTACCGGAGGTGGAAGGATGTATGTTATTGAATCTGCAAAGAAAATATTGCTTGTTACTATACAGCATTTACAAGGACAAGAATAACAGACATTTAAAAAAGCAATGCATATAGCATAACAGCAGTATTCAATACATTTTGACATTTTATCTATCCATCATTTACAATAAGCAATGAGGTACCCAAAACATGAAATAATTTAAGTTGGGTACATCATCTATTCTCACTCAGAATAGAAGAGTTCATGTTTTCAAGTAGTACTCCTAGTAAACTGAAGCTGCACTTGAAAATATAGTTACAGTGTCATGACTGGAACAAATCACCAAAAACCCATCATCATATGGTTTCTCTCCCAAGTGTGGCTTTTTGGTGAATCTGCAGAATGTTATACAGTAAACTGATTTTTATTCATTTCACCAAAATTCTTTGAATACTATACACTCATTATGCAGTTGTCCTCACAACACCATCTGGAACATCCTCTCCTTTCAGGAGCTAATTCACAACCTAAGTCCACATTTTCAAGTGTTTGCCAACTTCATGTAAATTACTGTAATATAGAATATATCTCCATTACTCATTGACAATCATGCAACACAGCCATACCATCAAGAGATTCTTCTTTACTTTCTTTAGCACACTGGCCATTTTCCACCAAGGCAGTGTGACCCACAAAGAAAGAAAAGCCCAAAAAGAAAGAAAAACCCAAAAAGAAGCAAAAAAAACTTTCAATATCATTCAACACTTTCACCATCAATCATACATAATCATTGTCTTTGCCGAGGCACCCAGATATGACAGTTTAGATAAACACTCCAAACTGCCAATATCCCAAACCCCTCCGTTAAAGTGAAGGCACTGTACTTCCCATTTCCAGGATACAAGTCCGGCTAACCAGTTTCCATGAACCCCTTCACAAAATATTACCCTGCTCACACTCCAACAGCTCATCGGGTCCCAAAAACCATTCATCTCCATTCACTCCTAACACGCTCATGCACTCTTGCTGGAAGTCCAAGCCCCTCGCCCACAAAACCTCCTTTACCCCCTCCCTCCAACCTTTTTGAAGATGACCCCTACCCTGCCTTCCTTTCCCTACAGATTTATATGCTCTCCAAATCATTCTACTTTGTTCCATACCAAACCACCTCAACAGCCCCTCATCACCCCTCTGACTAATACTTTTAGTAACTCCACACCTCCTCCTAATTTCCACACTACAAATTCTCTGCATAGTGTTTACACCACACATTGCCCTTAGACAGGACATCTCCACTGCCTCCAGCCACCTCCTCGCTGCAACACTTACAACCAAAGCTTCACACCCATATAAGAGTGTTGGTACCATTATACTTTCACACATTCCCTTCTTTGCCTCCATGGATAATGTTTCTTGTCTCCACAGATATCTTATTGCACCACTCACCTTTTTTCCTTCATCAATTCTATGGTTAACCTCATCCTTCATAAACCAATCTGCTGACACTTCAACTCCCAAATATCTGAAGACATTCACTTCAAGTCTGGCAGGCCGGACTTGAGTCCTGGAGATGGGAAGTACAGTGCCTGCACTCTGAAGGAGGGGTGTTAATGTTGCAGTTTAAAAACTGTAGTGTAAAGCACCCTTCTGGCAAGACAGTGATGGAGTGAATGATGGTGAAAGTTTTTCTTTTTCGGGCCACCCTGCCTTGGTGGGAATCGGCCAGTGTGGTGATAAAAAAAATAATAAATTCACTTCTTAAATACTCCCTCTCTCCAATGTGATATCCAATGTGATACACTCACCACCTTACTCTTATCCATGATCACCTTCACCTTTCTACCTTTACACACCCTCCCAAACTTGTCCACTAACCTTTGCAACTTTTCTTTTTAATCTCCCAAAAGCACAGTATCATCAGCATAAAGTAACTGTGTCAACTCCCATTTTGTATTTGATTCCCCATAATTCAATCCCACCCCTCTCCCCAACACCCTAGAATTTACTTCTTTTACAACCTCATTTATAAATATATTAAACAAGCATGGTGACATTACACATCCCTGTCTAAGACCTACTCTTAATGGGAAGTAATCTCCCTCTCTCCTATACACCCTAACCTTAGCCTCACTATCCTCATAGAAATTCTTTACAGCATTTAGTAACTTACTATCTATTCCATACACTTGCAACATCTGCCACATTGCTCCCCTATCCACTCTATCACATGCCTTTTGTAAGTCCATAAATGCAATGAAAACTTCTCTACCTTTATCTAAATACTGCTCACATATATGCTTCAATGTAAACACTTAATCTACACATCCCTTACCCACTCTAAAACCTCCTTGCTCATCTACAATCCTGCTCTCTGTCTTTCCTCTAATTCTTTCAATAATAACCCTACAATACACTTTACCTGTTATACTCAGTAAACTTATTCCCCTATAATTTTTACATTCTCCATTGTCCCCCTTCCTCTTATATAAAGGAACTATACATTCTCTCTGCCAATCCCTAGGTACCTTCCCTTCTTTCATAAATTTCTCAAACAAAAATACCAACCACTCCAACATTATATCCCCCCTTCCCCTGCTTTTAACATTTCTGTCACGATCCCGACAGTTCCAGCTGCTTTATCCTCTTTCATTCTACGTAATGTTTCACGCACCTCCCCCAAACTCACATCCTGCTCTTCTTCACTCTTAAAAGATGTTATACCTCTTTGACCAGTGCATGAGATTACTGCCTCCCTTTCTTCATCAACATTTAAAAGTTCCTCAAAATATTCCCACTATCTACCCAATACCTCCAGCTCCCAATCTACTAACTCCCCTAATCTGTTTTTACTGACAAATCCATTCAATCCCTAGGGTTTCTTAACCTGTTTATCTCACTCCAAAATTTTTTCTTCTCAGCAAAATTTGTTGACAGTGCCTCTCCCACTCTATCATTTGCACTCTCTCACCACTCTCTCCACCTTTCCTTTACTCTCCACATACACTGCCCTTCTTGTATCACTTCTTTGTAAAAACCTCTCATAAGCTACCTATTTCTCTTTTATCACACCCTTTGTGTATCTGGTCAGGATACATAAACAAAGTAACTCACTGTGACAGATACTTAGCCACCTACAAAATGCTGCATATTTTGCCCAAGTTCTCATCCAGATACAACTGTACATTTTTTTTTTTTTTTTTTTTTGCAATCAATGGATAGTATGGAAGATGAAATAGATGAGAATTGGTTTGGCCACTGGAATTGGCCTAAAATAGGCCTTAAAGTGGGCAAAATTGCTATTGTGTAAAATGCTCTCTGACCAAATCTGAGTTTCTTTCCATCAAATTTTGCATTTTTGGTGCCATCACCTTTAAGATTTTTATTTTAACAAATTACATGGTTGTACAGAGGAATATAATAGCTGGGTGTACATACCAAAAGCCTCTTTGTATGCAGAGCATTTCAGGCAAACTTAAAGATTAACTTAAGAATACTAAGTCTAGCAGAGAATTATTTCACTATTGAATTAGTTAATAAAGATTACAGTATTACAATGTAACAATTTAAAACAATTTACAATATGATGTACTACAATTTAGTACTATTTAAACAATGAAATTTGCTATTACAATGGAACAATTTACATTATGATGTACTGTATGTATTACAATCTACTACTATTTAAAACTATTTAAAAGATTCTCCTGTTCCTATAGTTATAAAAAGATAATCATAAATACAGGCCCTGCTCATATAGCAAGTTAGGTTCCGGGCTACTGCTGTAAAGTGAAAATCGCTATAGAGTGAAACTTAGTCTTTTTTTTTTTTTTTTTACTTTCAAATGCATATACAGAAGCATGACATGTTCACACTCTCATATTGAGCAACAGAGTTAGACCTAAAAAAGGCATATACAGTACACACATTACTTACATTAAAACATTTTCATCCTTAGCTTATTGCAAGTGGTGAATATATTTACTGTAGGAAGGTTGATTAAATGAAGAATGGGTATAAATGAAAACCACTGCATTAGCAAAATGCTGTAAAGAAGGGCTCCCCTGCAGTGTCATATTTTACCATTTGAATTTTTTTTTTTAAATAACTTGTCAACTAACCTATGGTGTTCTGTGATGCTGCAACACTTTCACCAGCATCTGCTACTGACTGAAAAGCAGCTGCTGAGGTATCATCAGTGACAGAGTTAACAGGGGCTGCTGTATTATATACAGAATAAGTAGTTGCATCCAATGAATCTGCCTTTACACCATTAGAATCAACAATTTCTTCATCAGGGAGAGGAGATGCTGCCTTCACAAAGAATATCTGAAAAGAACAAGATAATTATGAATACAGCCTCTCCTCACTTAACGACTGAGTTCTGTTCCTAAGACCACGTTGTTAAATGAATTCGTCGCTAAGTGAGAAGCATACTATAATGGTAGCGAGTGTGTCAACCATTGTTTAACCCTTTCAGGGTCGACAGGCCCTCTCAGAGACTATCAACTATCCAGTACAGTGGTCAGAATTTAGCAATTTTGCCAATTTCACACAAATTTCAAAAGATGCCAGTTTCCGAATAGGGTCCAGAATAAACAAGAAAGACATTCCTGGCACTAAAATAACATTTCCTCTGTTCATTAGTCACATCCCCATGCCCCTCTTACATTCTTTTGCTTTCCACTTTGAATTTTTATTCTCACAAAAAAATAGAAGATTTACTGTTATGCAGACTACTGCATTGGTGTAGAAATGGTATAAATATTATCAGCGCACTTGTGAAAGAATATTAGACTCACCAGTTGACGTGTATTGGACGCATAGCATGATTTGTTTACTTTTGAGCTTTGGTAAAAATCGAACATTTCTGCTACTTTGAGCGCAATTTCAAGGTAGTTTACTTTGTAAAACCAATCAAAATCATCTCAATTTTTGTAATATGTCTTCCATTCTATAAAATGAGACGAGGAAAACTAGAATACAACAATAAATACCATACGAAAATACAGTGGACCCCCGGTTTACGATCAGCTCCCAATGTGACCCATTATGTAAGTGTATTTATGTAAGTGCATTTGTATTTGTATGTTTGGGGGTCTGAAATGGACTAATCTAATTCACAATATTCCTTATGGGAACAAATTCGGTCAGTACTGGCACCTGAACATACTTCTGGAATGAAATAATATCGTAAACCGGGGGTTCACTGTACAGTGCAAAGTAGCTGTTTTATTCCAAAAACAAGGTCAGTTTTTTTTTTCTCATTACGCACTGTATGCTGCAGGTTTTTTTTTTATACTGCACACACTGACCACATAGACCCATTCTTTCATATGTAGGCCTACCAGCTTTCTCTCACTAGATTTGAGGGTGCTAGAATTTAGGCGTATTAGTACATCAAAAACCTTGGTGCGTAAGCCGTACTAGTACGGCCGAAACCCTGAAAGGGTTAAATGTCATCTTTGCACCATTTATAACATTTCTGGTGTATTTTTAAATGTTTATACAGTAGTGTACTGTATATTGAAATAAACAGAATAGAGGAAATCAGCTCTAATATGCATTATTTAGGTATTAACACTGGTCAGAGAGCCCATCGTAAGTCCGAGGCATCGGTAAACGAGTACATCGCAGAGAGAGGAGAAGCTGTACAGTAAAAGCGTACCTCGTTATTATAGAGCTCACTTTTGAGAACTTCGCTAATACGGTGCTTTTCAATTACAGTAGGGCCTCGGTTTACAGCGATTTGCTAAAACAGCTATTTCAAGTTATAAATAAAAATTTGTTTATAAAGCTCTTGATTCGCTATCATGGCCCAAAGCTCTTGGCTGGAGTCATTTTCTTTCTCTCAGTCTGCTTACATCCTTACGTCTCTTTTGATTCAGTCTGGAAACTTTCCAAGGTTTCAATACCTCCCATATAAGTGAATTTAGTTTCCGCAGCTTCAGTTATTCAGAGTTTACCGGTGGCCCAAAAATAAGCCTTAATTTTGCTTAATAATGACACCAAAGGACAAAAGTAGTAATCGAGGCACTTGTTTAAAGCCTAAGAAAAGCAGTGAAGTGCTTTCCATCAGTGAATAAGTGATAATTCTCCACTTATTGTGCATAATTTATCAATTAAGCTTTATCACAGGCATGCAGTATAACAAAGAAAACTGGCTTGCATGAATTACAGCACATATGTGGGCAACATTGGTATTTTACATTCTAGCACTGCGGGAGACATAGCAGTATAGTACAGCCCCTCCTCACTTTGCGACGTACAGTAGGGCCCCACTTGTTTGGCATGTTAGGTTCCAGACTACTGCCAGAAAGCAGAACACCATTTTTTTCCACTTATAAATGCAAATAAATGGCATGTAACAAGTTTACACTAGCATATATTATGTTAGCAATAGAACTAGGCATTAAAAACAATAAAAAGTAAAATACACACACAGTACCCCCATTACTTACCTTAAAATATTTGTAGTCTTAATGTAGGGCGAGAGGCGAGTTTAACTTGCAGGAAGTCAGGTTTGGGAGGTATGGTAGCCAGCCAGGTTAGCCCACCCCACCCACACGTAATATACTACATTTAATTCAAGCTCCCCAGTGCGATAAAATACATACACAGTACATTCAGTAATTACCTTAAAATATCTGTAGTCTTGATGTAGGGTGAGAGGTGAGTTTTATTTGTATGGTCAGGTTGGAAAGTATGGGTATCCAGGAAGGGCAGCCCTCCCGACCCAACCCCGCCCACACACAATGTAAACAAACCAGATGAACGCGTCTGGCTTTGGTCACTTTACATTGTGTACAAGTTGTCTCCACGTTGATCTAGTAGAATAAATAAAGAGAAACACTCCCATTCTCATGTAACGTTATTTTTAGAAGAAATGACGCCTTGAGTAAAGGCATACTTAGGTACAGGTACACATACGTATAATTATCAGTTATAATAATAATGTAGGGATGTAGTCCGCCTGGGCTACATACCTACACCTACCTACATAGCGGTCCAAAGCCATATTATTACCATCGACATACCATGTTCACTGAGTTTAATCATTTCTAACAACTACCTTTAGATGCCATCATAAACAAAGGGAGAAGTAATGAATAATTCATGCCAAGAATTGTAAACAAAAACGTTATGCATTAACCCTTTGAGGGTCGACAGGCCCTCTCCGAGACTCGTTCTCAGGGTCGGCCAAATTTAAAAGAAAAAATAATTTTTTCTTATGAAAAAATAGAGAATCTTTTCCCAATCATAATGACACCAAAAGTATGAAATTTGATGGAAAACTTACGGAATTATGCTCTCGCGAAGTTAGTGGTCTCGGCGATGTTTACGCATCGGTGATTTTGCCCACTTTGAGCCCCATTTTCGGCCAGTTCCACTGTACTAGTCGACAAAAAACATTAATATTTCGCTAGAACTCCATTTTTTCTATCGAATGAGTGCAAGAAACCACCCATTTACCAATTTAAACTATCTAGTACAGTGGTCAGAATATAGCAATTTTGCCAATTTCACACAAATTTCAAAAGATGCCAATTTCCGAATAGGGTCCAGAATAAACAATAAAGACATTCCTGGCACTAAAATGACATTTCCTCTGTTCATTAGTCACGTCTCAAGGCCCCTCTTACATTCTTTTGCTTTCCACTTCGAATTTTTATTCTCACAAAAAATAGATTTACTGTTATGCAGACTACTGCATTAGTGTAAAAAATGGTATAAATAATATTGGCACACTTGCGAAAGAATATTAGACTCACCAGTTGACGTGTATTGGACGCTTGGCATGATTTGTTTACTTTTGAACTTTGGTAAAAATCAAACCTTTCTGCTACTTTGAGCTCAATTTCAAGGTACTTTTCATTGTAAAACCAGTCAAAATCATCTCAATTTCTGTAATATGTCTTCCATTCTATAAAATGAGACCAAGAAAGCTAGAATACAACAATAAATACCATACAAAAATACAGTGCAAAGTCGCTGCTTTATTCCAAAAAAACGGTCAAAGTTTTTTCTCATTATGCACTGTGTGCTGCAGGATTTTTTTATACTGTGCACACTGACCACATAGACCCATTCTTTCATATGTAGGCCTACCAGCTTTCTCCCACTAGATTTGAGGGCGCTAGAATTTAGGCGTACTAGTACATCAAAAACCCTGGGTCGTAAGCCGTACTAGTACGGCCGAAACCCTCAAAGGGTTAAGGGGAGTGATGCAATGTTTTCCCTCTGCCTGGCTACCACACCTCCATAGTATATAAACAAAATGTTTATATGCTATGTAACATGTTTCTTATACAATTTTGAAGAAAATATCATAGATGGATTAATGAAAATGTCAATATTAATGTAAAATAAGACATTTAATGTGCCCAAGGGTGATTATTATTAGAATTATGTAATGTTTTCCCTCCACCCAGCAACCACACCTCCATAGCATATAAACAGCATGTTTATATGCTATGTAACCTGTTTCTTATATAATTTTCAAGAAAATATCATAGATGAATTAATGAATGTCAATATTGATGTAAAATTAGACATTTTATGTGCCCAAGAGTGATTATTACATAATAGAGAGATGTGCTCATGGAGAATGTAAACAAACCGGATGGCGCGCGCCATATTTGACTGCTTGCGGTATAAAAAGGTTCGGTCATAATTTGAAATCGCCGTATTAGCGGAACGCCGTAAGGTGAAATGCCGAAAAGCGAGGCCTTACTGTACCTGTTTACCGATGCCTCGGACTTACGACGGGCGCTCTGACCAGCATTTATACCTAAATAGTGTATATTAGAGGTGATTTCCTCTATTCTGTTTATTTCAATATACAGTATACTACTGTATAAACATTTAAAAATACACCTACCATCCGACTTACGGCCGAGTTCGGTTCCGAGAAACCGGTCGTAAGTCGAAATGGTCGTAAGTCAAACTTTAATACTGAATATCAACAAAACATTTTTGTAATGACTATTTTATTGTTTTATTTTGGTAATTCATCTTTTACTTTACTTTTTATGTTGTTAGTACTGTGTTTTATACTGTAAGGTTTAGGATAAACACTGTGTACAACACAAATAGTTGTTTATTTCCCAGAAATTTGGCATAAAATACACGGTCGTAAGTCGAGTGGTCGTAAGTCGAGCAGGTCATAAGTCGGATGGTAGGTGTATATCAGAAATGTTATAAATGGTGCAAAGATGACATTAAAACAATATCAAGGATGGTGACACTAACCCACTACCATTATAGTATGCTCCTCGCTTAGCGACGAATTCATTTAACAACATGGTCTTAGGAATGGAACCCAGTCATTAAGCGAGGAGAGGCTGTACTGTATATGGGTTTATCTTTACATTCTTTCTCTCTTTTTAAGGGTGATGTATGAAGCTGAGTTTGAAATTAAATTAAAGTGTTTTGGGGGCATATTTAGAGTTTAACCCCTAAACTGTCCAAACGCAGATCTACATTTATGTGCGTAGCACTCCTACCTTTATTTTCTCCATTTGAAAGCACATAAAAAAAAAAAGTTGATCTACGTTCGGAGCAACTATGCGCTGTGAACATAGATCTACGTTTGGACAGTTTAAGGGTTAAACTATAAAAATAGGCATTTATAGGCATTTTTTTAACCGTGACCAGAATTCACGGTTTTTCCAAATTCATGGGTGTTCTTGGAACATAACCCTGCGAATTTGGGAGGACTACTGTAATGTACATTAGAGCTGATTTTCTGTATGTATTCTGTTTATTACAGTATACAGTACACTCCTGTATAAACATTTAAAAAATACTTAGAATGTTATAAATGGTGCAAAGGTGATATTAAAAAATATCTAAAGACGGGCGACACAGACTCACTACAGTACATTATGCTCTTCGCTTAACAACCAATTTGCTCACCAATCTACTCTTAGGAATGAAACCCCGTTGTTAAGTGAGGAGAGGCTGTATTACACTTGCCTACCATTTTGAATTTTTGGTCAAACAAAAATAGATTTATTCTATAACCAGAAAGATTGGCCATGGTGTATAGAGTCCAAAAAATTGAATCAGACCTATTAAAAAACCATGAAACAGACTGGAAGCTGAAGGGAAACTTACCCACCCTCAGGAATACACAATGGCAAAAATCAAATATTTCTGCTACTTTGAACTTAATTTCAAGCTGCTTATCGGTCCTAAAACCAATCAAAATAATCTTTATTTCAGTAGCATGTTTTCCACTATCAAATGTTACCAAGAAATAGCCAATAAAACAAAAACCATCTGAAAAAACACCTCAAAATCATATTTTAAACCATCTACATGGTCAACGTTTTGTTTTTCCCATCATGCACCATACGGGGCATGATTTTTTTTTTATACTATGCACATTCGCCACACAACCCAATTACTGACAATTTTTCTATCAGCCTTCTGTTTTATTGATTCGACAAAGGAAGCTGCCCATTCAACTATCAGAACTATCCAATGAAGTGCACAGAATTCAGTAATTTGGCCAGTTTACATAAAAGTAAAAAAAAAATTAAAAAGTCCAAAATAAACACTGTACGCATTTCAGCCACTAAAGCAACCTGTCCTCTGTTCACTAATATCACAGAAAACCCAAAGTTTTACCCTATATTTTGCTTAATAAAACATAACCATGAATGATCAATAAATACAAAGGCACAATACCATGGCTGGAACAACATACAAATAATTACCCTCACAGACAAACTTATAACATTTCATAAGTAACAAAAAGGCACAATACCGTGACTGGAACGATACACAAATAACCCGCACATAAAAGAGAGAAGCTTACGACGACGTTGGACCATTGACAAAGTCACACTAACAGAGGTGGAGCAGGACGGCTATATATATAGGCAGGAAGAGGTGTAGGGGTGGGGGGTGAGTATATTAGTACTAGTAGTATTAGTATAGTAGTAGTAGTACTAGTAGTAGTAGTACTAGTAGTAGTAGTACTAGTAGTAGTAGTAGTAGTAGTAGTAGTACTAGTAGTACTAGTACATAGTACTAGTAATAGTACTAGTAATAGTAATAGTAGTAGTAGTAGTACAAGAACTGTATATAATACCGACAAGATGAAATTAGACACATGCACAACACCCGGGCATCCCCATCATAGACATTTCGCCATCCAGCCAGCCACTGGATGGCGAAACGTCCACAACAAAGACAACCAGACGCCGCACATGTGTCTTAATTTCATCAGTAGTTGTAGTAGTAGTAGTAGAAGAAGAGGTAGTAGTAGTGGTAGTGGTAGAAGTGGGAAATAAGGATGACGAGCAAGTCAAAAACAAAAACAAAGGAAGGGGAGCACTGCAAGAGAGCTAGATGCCCACAGAGGGAGAGCAAGCGCACTAACCACACTGAAATTTAGTCATAAGTTTCGGTCTATATGTGGCTTATGTATGATTGATGATTTGGCCACTTTCAGTCTGAAAATGACTAAAATAATTTGCATTTCACTAGCATGTCTTTCACTATTAAATGTCACCAAGAAGCAGCCAATAAAGCCATAAAACCACCTTAGAAACCAGCTCAGTCGATATTTTAACCCAAACACAGGGTCAAAGATTTGCTGTTCCCATTATGCACTGCATGGAGCAGGATCTTTTTATGCAGTGCACACAAACTGCACACACATTTTCTCATGTCTGGCTCAAATTTACCAATCACAGCATATCTGAGGGCAGGATGATAAAGATTTACATGAGCAACACACTGGTATCAATGATGTAGATGTACATGGGAAACCATGAAAGAGTTAATGGAAATGCATGCAACTAATGGAAATGAATTCTGCTTCAGTATCAATTACTGGTAATGGCATGTTACTATTGGAAATAAAAATGTAAATTTAAATAGCAGACTATTGAACATGAGAGCTATGATTGTGTGACTCGAGGGTTTGATGTACAGTATCCTACATACGTATATTTTCATCATGGACATTTTGGATTCCTGTAAATTCTGCAAAATACTACAAGCTGCCATGAATTTTAGATTTAAAGGAGAAAAATCTGTGACCAGACAGCTGGAAAAAGTGGACAAAGTTCACTGAATCAAGAACTGTCCATTATCGTTATGTTCTGCTTGATAAAATTATTTTGGATTAAATGGATAATACTGTATTCCCAAACTCTCAAGCTGTCCATTACTGTTACATAGGCATGCAATCTCATAATTCAAAATTAACCGAGAACTGGCATTAGTGGATGCTTCCTCTTCCCTATTAGTTTGCTGAATCAAGATTTCACTGCATCTGCAAAATAACATTGGACAACCAATAATTCAAGGTATGCCAAATAATTGACAGAGATGGCTACTGGTGGAAAAATGAGGTTTATCAAGCGCAATACGTACATTTATTCAATTACAAAAAAATCTTTGTTCTTTTTGTGAGCCTAGCCCAAGATCAGGCTCTGGGAGTAAAATAACTCTCAGAGCTCATCAAAAGTATACCAAAGGTTGTAGGCCAGTAATTTACCTTATGTAGTATACTGCTGGCTGAGCTGTTATGACGGAGGCTGGTTCTGCTTAGTTGTGATGGCAGTTGAAGTACAGTTAATTGTCCCACCAATAGCTTTGATGAACCTCCACAGTGTGTCCATCTGCTTCTTTGAGATGTTGCACCAGAATGATAACTTGACGTAGGAAACCAGTAACCAACCTGTGAAACATTCACTTTATCAACAATCAAAAACTTTGTACCCAATAATTTCTAGAACTCAAAGGCATGATATGGCATACTGTATTTAACTAAACATTAAATGTTTGCATTAACCAAAATAAAACACAAAATACACCTGATGCAATATCTAAGACTTCACAAGTCCTCTAATATTAATACTGAAGTGTATGAGATACAGTAGGCGAGAGTAGGTAAAGTAAAATAATGAGTATAAGCTTAAGTTAATGAACAACTGTAATACATGTATATATATGTACAGTAGACCCTCATTTTTCGTAAGCACTGTTAGTCGTAATTTTCAAAAACCATAACATTTTTTCGTCAAAATATTGACTCGTGAATTGTCTTTTGACTCGCAAATAGTCGTTCGTCCCAGACGTGTATGTAGGGCCCTGAGCGGCCCCACACACTATTCACAGCTAGTGTGCCATTGTTTATCAGCAGCTGAGGATGATCCAACGCGTTCATACAATACATTACGTAATATTCCATTCGTTTTAGTGCTTGCAACTGCTAAATAAGCCACCATGGCCCCAAAGAAAGCTCCTGGTGCCAGGCCTTTGGTAAAGGAAGGTGAGAAACACGATAGAATTCAAGAAAAAACTCATAGCAAAGTACTAAAGTGGAGGAGGAAGAGAGAGAGGGGAGAATGTACCTTCTTCAGTGATTCTACAATACTAAAGCAGCACGAGTCGATAAAGGCCACAGTGCCAGCTAGCAATAAAGTGTAGCATTAACAGTGTAGCAAGTTAAACAAACCATACCAAGGGTGGGGTTTGAACCCGCAGTCAGATTCATCTGTAAAAACTTGCATTTGTGGTCACAGTGGTGCCCATGCTAACCTTCCTATGGTGTAGAAATATATCTAGATGGATAAATCTTATTGAAGCTAGCTGGCCCAGTGGCTAATGCGACGGTCTGGATTCTCAGACTCTCTGACCGAGGGTTCAAACCCAACTTGTGGTATGGTTTGTTTGCAATCGTGTCATTACGATTTCATGAGTGAAGTAAGTTAAGCAATTAATCGATAGAAAAAGGACAGCACGAGCCTAACTCTTCCAATGTTGTTGGAGTTATATAGGGGTACTGACAACACTGCCACCTCCACCACTAATATGTATGGCTTATGCTCTCAGTGGCCCTCATACACCTAACAACAAAACACACCACCACTTGTGATGTACTTAATGACATTTTTTATTCATTCTAGAGTATATACGTGTATCATGTTTGTATGTTATTAATATTGTTTATTATATCATATTAGATGAACTGTGATGGATAAATGTCATATTTTATTCATACACCAGCAAGTCTTCAATAAAGGTAAGTGTGATGTTATTACTGTTTTATCCTTCATGTCTCATTGTTTTCTGTGTATGTAAATCTACATTTCATGTAAAAAAAAAAAATTTTTTTTAATACTTTTGGTCTGAAACGAATTAATTGGATTTACATTATTTCTTACGGGGAAAATGGTTTCGCAAATCGTCAATTTCATCATTAGTCACACACACCTGGAACGAATTACGAAAAACGAGGGTCCACTGTACACTGAAAATGGGTAAAAAAGTGAAAAATTGAAAGTGGAATAAATGTTAAACAAATACCACCTTAAATATAGGTACTTAACCCTTTCACTAAGTCACATACAGTGGACCCCCAGTTAACGATATTTTTTCACTCCAGAAGTATGTTCAGGTGCCAGTACTGACCGAATTTGTTCCCATAAGGAATATTGTGAAGTAGATTAGTCCATTTCAGACCCCCAAACATACACATACAAACGCACTTACATAAATACATTTACACAATTGGTCGCATTCGGAGGTGATCGTTATGCGGGGGTCCACTGTACTTGTACATTTTTGGCCCCAGGGTCTGTCATGTAGATCTACTTCATGAGCTCAGCTCATTCAGATAAGCTGTCGAGTGGTAAATTTTGGCCTAAATACAAGAATGAGTCTGTGCAATGAGTGTGCACTGTATATAAAAAAAATTGTACCTTAAGTGGTACATGATGAAAAAAGTTTAAAATAGCAACTTGGAGGGTTTTTTTTCTAGGATGGTTTTTATAGTTTCACTAGCTGTTTCCTGTATCAATTCTTAAAAGAGAAGATATACTGTACTACTGAAAGTGAAACGATTTTGGTTGGTTCTAGGACAGGAAGTAGCTCGAAATCTGCAGTAGACTAGCAGAAATATTTTTTCACCAATTTTCCTGAAGACAGGTATGGCCAACATGCTGGTGAAGGTTCTGATTTAAGAAATTAGAGCTACTCTCCCATTTCTCTGATCAAACCTGACTGCTTTCCATTCCCCAGGCACTGTACAACTCTTAAGGCTATAGTGCTTGCCCCTTAATGCAATAATAATGATTAAAAAGTCACAATACTGTGTCTGGAACAGGTCACCAAAAACCTGCACACTGAGAGGAACCTTATGATGACATTTCCATCCTTCTTGGACCAGTGTCAAGTCACAAGTGGAGTGAAGTTGTGACTTACTAATGGTCCAGGATGGACTGTACATTCATCATGAGGTTTCTCTCCTAAGTGTGAGTATTTTTGGTGAAATGTAATCGAAATCTTTGATGCATGTACTGGGCAAGAATCTTTTAGCCCAGTAGCTGGCTCACTCAGTTCATAAACAAGGAGACCTGAAGTTGTACGCTGTATGACGCAAGACATTTTGGGCAGGTTTCCTAACATTTGCTGCCCCTGTTATCTAATTACAAATGGATACCTATTCAACCACTACCACCTTCAAGAATGCCCTGATTTCTGGATTTCCTTTATATACTCTCCATATCCATGCACTATACTTTTCAAATAGGCTTAACATAGATGCTTGTAAGTGAAACAATAGTCTTAACCATGTGGGCTACATCCTGGGAAACAACCTACAAGGGACTCGATTGGGAGTACAGTAAGTCCTATTGCTCAACTTTCTTAGGTTATCATGGGATACTAGCCTTCCAGGGGATAATCCAAATAAAATCTATGCAGGGGGAAAAACCTAAATAATCTATGCAGGGGGGGGGGGGGAACCTAAATAATCTATGCTAGGCATCAGCCACATTTCCTTCTAAAATTATATTCCATTCCAGACCTTTGATACACCTTTAAAAAATTTCAAGAGTTTTCCTACTCCAACATCCCAGACCTGGATCAGGTTTGTCTAATGCTTGCCTGATCAATGAGGCTGTTGCTGCTAGCAGCCCAATACTTCACACATCCATTACAGCCTGGTTGATCTAGCATAAGTCCTTCACCATGTTTAATAACTAGCACCTTGACTTCCAGTAGCCCATGTTGACAAAAAACATGATTCTCTATTCTAGATAATTAACCCAGAGGATTAATAACCCAGGATAACCCAACAAAGATACTTGTCATTTGATTGTCTGGTTTATCTCTACTGAGGTCCTTGAATTATCTTCCCAAGAATGCAACCCCACAACTGTCACCTAACAATCAGGTGTCTTGCCCAAGTACAATACCGAAGAGTTGATGAATAAGGCATAATGAAAAACACTTGAGCACACACAATACTGGATAAATTTCTTTTTCAGTCAACCCAGATGGTTAGCCACCCGGGATAACCAAAGTCCCACAACAGTCTTCTAACACCCAGGTACCTACTTACTGCTAGGTGAACAATAACAGCAGGGTATAAGGTGAGTAACACCCAGGTACCTACTTACTGCTAGGTGAACAATAACAGCAGGGTATAAGGTGAGTAACACCCAGGTACCTACTTACTGCTAGGTGAACAATAACAGCAGGGTATAAGGTGAGTAACACCCAGGTACCTACTTACTGCTAGGTGAACAGGGACAACAGGTCCACCTGGCCGGGGATGAAGCAACGGACCCTCAGTGTGTAAGCTGAGGACACTATCAACTTAGAATGTAATATTTATTATTATTACAGTCATAACTAAGCGCTAAACCCACTAGGGTCATACAGCGCTGCAGTGTAACATTGAAACAGTAAAACACAAAATATCAGTGTCTGCCTCCAACAATAAAACACCGTAAACAACACCGGAACAGTAAAATGGTGCTATAACATGTAATTAACTTCAACTCTACTTGCATTATATGCATTTGCGTGTCCTCTGACAAGGTGCCGAACTCCAGAAGAAGAATTAAGGTAATGTATAAAGCAGCGAGTGCCGGGCGACCCACGTACTGCTGCCGCCATGTTTGTTATGGCACAGCACTACAAGCTTAATTTATTTTTTTATTTTTTATTTATTAACAATTTGAGCACATATACAGAGGTACAAAAAAATACAGATAAGAGCAGCATGCCAAAGCCACTTATACTATGCATAGCATTACGGGCTGGCTTAAAATTAACTTAAGATTAACTAAGCAATGATTACAATGAATAATCCAACGACTACCTGCCTTATTATCACAAGCAAATTGGTATTTCTATTTTGTAAAAAAAAAAATATATATATATACGTGGGTACGTCAAATTAACTTAGAGGATAGGTTTGGTAAACCTCCATTTTATTTATTTATTTATTTATTTATTTGAACATGATACATAGAAGTACAAGGAAATACAGTGGTTAAGTGTAACATACCAAAGTCCCTTGTATGCAGAGCTTAAAATTAACTTAAGATTAACTAAGCAATGATATATTCAGTGGTAAACATTATTGTAAACAAATAACAATTAAGCACAAATGAGTATTTCAAAGACAGGTCATATTGTAATTTACTATGTTGTTGAGCATTCAGTATTATTATTATTATTATAATCAAGGGGGAAGCACTAAACCCATAGGATTATACAGTGCTTGGGGGAGGGATGGAAGGTATTCAGGTTTAACTCAGGGAACTGGAGCACAGATCCAGTTCCCTAGATCAAGAGCCCCTCACCAGCATCAAGGAACCTTCCTTGAGGGGGAGCATTCAGTAGAATGGAGTATTTTGTTAGGTAATGTAATTAAAAATGACAAAGTTTGATTGGGTCACAGGTTAAACATTTATGATACAATTATTCAGTATTTATTTGGTTGTGGGTAAGTGATTTTTAAGAAGAGACTTGAATTTATAAACAGACAGTGTTCCTTTTATATTCACAGGTAGTGAATTCCAGATTTTTGGGCCTTTTATGTGCATTGAGCTTTTGCATAGTGTGAGATGGACACGAGGAATATCAGAGTGATCTGTGCCTTGGGTAATGGTCATGTGTTCTGTTGAGGTTGGTAACGAGACGTTTGAGAGGAGGGTTTATATCCCAGTTAAGTGTTCTATGTATGAAGTAGGTACAATAATAAGTTTGGATGCTTTGTATGGTGAGTAGGTTTAGAGTTTTGAATATAGGTGGAGTGTGCTGCCTGTAGTGGAGTTTATCATCATTTTGACTGAGTAGTTCGTTTGGTGAATTAATGAGACTTGTGCAATATATTTGGGTATCTTTATAATAATAATAATAATAATAATAATAATAATAATAATAATAATAATATATTTTTACTACAGGTACATGTACAAGGTATACAGGCCTAGCTGACATCAATGACATACTACTATACAGAAAGCCCCTTGTTATGCTGAGCATTTCGGGCATATTAGGTCATTGTCCCAGGATGCGACCCACACCAGTCGAATAACTCCAGGTACCCATTTCACTGATGGGTGAACATAGATAACCGGTGTAAAGAAATACGCCCAATGTTTCTACCCACGCAGACCCTCACTTGCTCTATCTAGGCTGGAATATTGCTGCACACTAACAGCACCTTTCAAGATAGGTGAAACTGCTGACCTAGAAAATGTACAGAGAACCTTCATGGCACGCATACCTGCGATAAAACACCTCAATTACTGGGAGCGCTTGAAGTTCCTCAACCTGTACTCGCTAGAACGCAGGTAAGTAAGTTTATTCATGTATACACAAATACAGTTACATAGAATTATCATACATAGCAGCATATGTGTAGAGAACCTAGGATAACCCAAAAAAAAGTCAGACAGAGTGACTTATTTCCATTGGCGGGAGAGATACATGATTGTATACACTTGGAAAAACCTAGGGGGATTAGTACCAAACTTGCACTCGAAAATCACTCCCTAACAAAGCAAAAGACTCGGCAGACGATGCAACATCCCCCCAATGAAAAGCAGGGGTGCCACTAGCACGATACGAGACACAATAAGTGTCAGGGACCCATGACTGTTCAACTGCCTCCCAGCATACATAAGGGGGATTACCAATAGACCCCTGGCTGTCTTCAAGTAGGCACTGGACAAGCACCTAGAGCCTGTACTTGACCAGCCGAGCTGTGGTTCGTACGTTGGATTATGTGCAGCCAGCAGTAACAGCCTGGTTGATCAGGCCCTGATCCACCATGAGGCCTGGTCACAGACCGGGCCGCGGGGGCGGCCCGACCTGATCCTCTAGCTTTTGTACTAATCTTGTGAGGAACTGTGTCGAGGGCCTTCTTGCAGTCCAAGAAAATGCAATCTACCCACCCCTCTCTCTCGTGTTTTACTTCCGTTACCTCGTCATAAAACTCCAGTAGGTTTGTGACAGGATTTGCCTTCCATGAATCCGTGCTGGTTGTCGTTTATAATCTTGTTCCGTTCTAGGTGCTCCACCACTCTCCTGTTAATCTTCTCCATGATTTTGCATACTATATACGTCAATGACACTAGTCTATAGTTTAGTGTCTCGTTTCTGTCTCCTTTCTTAAAAATGGGGACTAAATCTGCCGTCTTCCTTACCTCAGTTTCAATGGATTTGTTGAAAATTGTGGTTAGTGTGAGTGTCAGTATGAGGTGAGTGTTGCTTACCAGGCCACAGGACACGGGTTAGTTTTGCTAATATCTCTGAAGTGAAGGTGATAGTTGTCAGGTTAGTTTGTCTTACTTAAGTAACTAAAGTGAAGATGGGAACATAAAAAGTCCGGGCTGAATGGTACTGCCCTTGATACTGGCCATGTAGTCACAAACTGTAAGGCTGGAGGTGATGTCCTGGTAGTCAGTAAATGTAGGGCTGATAGTGCTGTCCTGGGAGACAGTAATGGTGAAGCTGGAGGTGCTGTCCTGGGAGACAGTAATGGTGAAGCTGGAGGTGCTGTCCTGGGAGACAGTAATGGTGAAGCTGGAGATACTGTCCTGGGAGACAGTAATGGTGAAGCTGAGAGGTGCTGTCCTGGGAGACAGTAATGGTGAAGCTGGAGATACTGTCCTGGGAGACAGTAATGGGGAAGCTGGAGGTGCTGTCCTGGGAGACAGTAATGGTGAAGCTGGAGATACTGTCCTGGGAGACAGTAATGGGGAAGCTGGAGGTGCTGTCCTGGGAGACAGAAATGGTGAAGCTGGAGATACTGTCCTGGTAGACAGTAATGGTGAAGCTGGAGATTTTGTCCAGGTAGTCGGGAATTATACGCAGGAAGGAATACATATAAATGACCTCATAGAGGACAGGAGCCATAGTAGGGAAACAAGTGTAGTCAAAGATAAGATAAAACCAATATTGCAAACCAGAAATACCGCAGGAAATAGCAAACAAGAGGACTCCAATAGCAATAGTGAGGATAAATTACCAAAACAACTGGTGGGAGCTCCATTGTTGGTGCTAGGGAGGATAGGAATAAGACAGGGAAACATGCACCAACAGGGAATACAGTCACAGAAACCCAAGGCAAACGGAAACCAAGCCTGTGCACATACTATGCACTTGGTATCTGCTGGCATGGGAAATCTGGAAAAACAGATGGGACATGCAACTATGACCACCCTAGAAAATGTCATGCCCATATGACAACAGGGAAAATGCAAACTCCCTTCCTGTAAGCTTTTTCACCCTGAAATGTGTACCTCTTCAGTACAGGAAAGACTGTGCTATAACTTAAATTGCCAGGCATACCATCTAAAGGGGACAAAAAGATACAAAACATCCAGGCCATGGGAAAACCTGGGTAGCCACAGCCACTCAAGAGGGAGAGGTTTTTTAGTGCCAGGAAGGAAAAAAAACTGGCAGGAAATGGCAGAAATGTACACCAAATCCAGTCATTCCTGGAGTGAACCACAGTCGATGGCCTCCACTCCAAACCAACAGATACAGATACTAATGCCGGAAAAAAAATCCCCCCCAGTACCAACAATACCACCAGTCCGATAACATTCTTCTTTGCAAATATACAGGGTCTAAAGCCAGCAATAACAACAAAATACCTTTCATCCGTGGACTGCTTGCAGAGGCAAAGGCAATGTTCGCGGCTTTCACTGAGACCCACATAAAGGATCACTTGGACAACGAAATATGGATCCCAGGTTACAACCTATACAGATGTGACAGAGTGAACAGGCAAAAGGGGGGGGTTGGCCTGTACATTGCAGAGTCACTTGTTTGCACAGAACTGCTTAATGCCTCAAATGACGTAGTGGAAGTTTTAGCAGTAAAGGTCGAGAACCAAAACCTAGTCATTGTGTAGTCTACAAGCCTCCGGATGCAACATCCAGCAATTCCAGGAACAGCTGTTAAAAATTGACCACTGTCTGGAAAATCTTCCAGCTCCTGCACCCAACATCTTGCTCCTGGGGGATTTCAACTTAAGGCACCTAAAATGGAGGAATATAGCAAATAAATATTGTTGCAGTAATAACACCAGAGGCAGCTCTGATGAAAACTCACACTCACAACGAGCTTTTAAATCTCTGCACAAAATTCAATTTTAAACCAGCAAATAATAGAGCCTACTAGACTGGAGAATACACTAGGACTCATCTTCACTAACAATGATGATCTGATAAGAAATGTCACCATATCAAAAACAATATACTCAGATCACAAATAATTGAGTTCAGACATGTAGGCGTGGAGCCTCAGACCGACAAAATGAGACTAGTCACGAGGGAGCATTCACCAAATTCAACTTCAATAACAAAAACATAAAGTGGGACCAAGTAAACCAAGTCTAACCGATATAGCTGGAAGATATACTAAGCAACACAGACCAAACTTATGCTAGAACAGATTAAACTCGGTGGCACTCGATGTATGCACAAGGCTTATTCTCTAAGAAAAAGGAGGAGTAGATGTAAAATAGAAAAGACAGGCGCTCCCTTTACAGGCGACGAAAAAATAACAGAGCGGTAAAGAGGTCAATATATCAGAAATGCGCAGGGAGACACTGGTCAGAGAAATAGCAAGCATCGAACTTAAGCTAAAAGAATCCTTTAGG